CCCCGCCTATTCGACCGGCCCCGAGAGGGGGAAAGCGGCCAGGGCTGCGCTCGCCCCCCCAGTTTTGCCCCCCTGAGGGCGCCGGGGCTCTGTTCACAGCACCCGTTTGGGTTGGGGTCCCCTTTGCTGTGCAAACCCGCCGCCTTTGTCTCCTGGCGCTCAGAGGATGGGATCATTTCACAGTCCGCGGGTGCTCGTCGGAACGCAGTCGGTGCTATCCCTATTTTGTTGTTTTTATTTTTTGGCCATAAAACGGGTCTGTTTGTGGCGGGGACGCCGCTTCAGCCACCAGGGAATAAGATCTGGATGTTCCCACCAAAAGGGTGAAAGAAGAGCCAGTTAACACCCACGAGTGGGACTCACCCCGTGGGTCTAAACCAGGCTGGGTAAAGACCAACCAGATGGCTTTACACGGCAGGGGACACTCTGGTGGTGACTGTCGCAGGAGAGAACAACTCTCTGTGTGTGTTGGTTGGTTCGTGTGTGGTTCAGTCTATTGCCAAAGCCCCAGCTTGGGCCAATTCAGTAGCCAGGATGAGTGTGGTATGTGAGCCCAGTCAGAGGATTAGAAGGGAGCTGCTTTAAGAAAGAAAAGTCTCGTGCCTTTAAACAGGAGAAGGCACCTCTGCTTGCCTCTCTGTACCCTGGATTCTCTGCACCTTTGCATGATGATTTCTATGTGGTCGATAGCTTCTGCTTTGTAGGATCAACCATCAACAGTAAGAGAACAAGCGGTCCAGAAATACACTGCAGACTAGCACTTGGTAGAGCAGCCATGAAGGCCTTGGAGAAGATATTCAAATGCCGTGATGTTCTCTACCTACAAAGCTCAGAGTCGTACAAGCCTTGGTATTCCCTGTGACACCATATGGAAGCCAAAGTTGGGCTTTGAAGAAGCAGGATAGGAAGAGTATTGATGGTTTTGAGCTTTGATGTTGGAGAAGACTCCTGAAAATACAGTGGACAGTCAAGAAAACAAACCGATAGATCATCGAACAAATCAACCCAGAGCTCTCCCTTGAGGCCCAAATGACCAGGCTCAAATCATCCTCCTTCAGACACACTATGCGAAAACCCAGCTCCCTGGAGATGGACCTAATGCTGGGAAAGGTGGAAGGAAAGGAAAGAGGAAGCACCAAGGGGATGGACTCAGCTACAGTGGCAATGGATGGAAGACCTGGCTAGGGACAGATCATCATGGAGAAAATCTATCTATGTGGTCGCTAAGAGTCATCAACAACTTGATGGCACATTATCAAGTGTATGGTTTCAGGTCAATTTTGTATAAATATCTGTTGGGGAGATGTGATGTTTTTATCTGAAGGAAATGTCAGATGCCTTTTTCCTAAGGGTTACAGTGCCATCCCCTTTTACATTCTGCTTATTTTCGCTGACAATAAGTTGACATATGTTTAGTTACTCCAGGCAGCCGCCCATCCCCACACTTTTCACAAGACTTCTTACTGTGCTCCAGCTCATTTACACCACCAAATACTTCATACCCACAACTGGTATGGATTTTCAACATGTTCTGTTCTATAGGGAGGCATTTAGTCATGCTCTCTGCATTTGCACACTCACGTGGAACTGTTTCTGAAATCTGCATCATACACTTCCTCTGAATTTTGTGGGTGAAACAGGTTTGCTGGCCTGAAGTGTGGTATTACATTGGAAGTTCTACCCACTGGAGCGATTTGCTATATCGTCTGGAGGAGAAGAGAGAAATCAAGAATGTAGGATGTTAGTCTATGGCAGCAAAAAATCAGTGTCTGGCAACACCTTTTCCAACTAACACATTTTATTGAAAGGCATAGCAGAAAAGGTGCTACCAGACCCAAGAATGCTATTTCCATTTTTATTTTCTCCTAGATTTCGTTCTTCGATGGTGAAAGATTGCATCCGTGAAGTGTTGAAGGAGGAGTTGGCCAACGTACAGTATACCCCAGAAGAGATCTCAGCCCGCACCAAAGTACTATCAGAGATAATCCGGGACAGACTGAAAGGTATTTGAATGGGTCTGCTTTGCTGCATCTTTATCTCTCCTTTTCACACCGAGTACCTGTGGTCTTTTCCCAACTGACCGAGCATTTAAAGTTACAGTATAATGGACTGATGGCTTGCATGATTTTTATCCTAGTTAATGTTTATTTTAACTCTTTTCAGATAAAGGATTTCACCGATATAAAATAGTTGTGCAAGTAGTGATTGGAGAGCAGAGAGGCGAGGGAGTTAAGTAAGTTTTTCTTCTTCTGTTAAACAACTGCCCTCATTTTGAATTCTTTTGCCCTATTAGTTATATTATCTGTGAAGTCACCTAATTGAAAATATTATTTTAAAACAATTCTGTGCTACCCACCACGCCTTATTTCTTCAGACAATGTGCGCCTGTGTTTTTCATTCTTCAAATAACAATATTCCAATTTTTCCCTGGAAATACTATGCATTCCCCTTTGTTTTATATACCTATTTTCTGTAGATTGATCTGGCTTCTCTTGTTTCATTTTGAAATCTATTGGTTCAAATTTCCATTGTTTTTATATCAGGTGACTAACATTTCTCATATTGATCTATCACCACTGTTTTAAACTATGCCCAAGACAGTTTATGAAGATTCCTCACTTTTCGTGTAAGAGGGCAGTAACTGATGCTTTGTCTTCTTACTAGCTGGTTCCTTACTTTTTTTTTTTTTAGCATGGCTGCCCGTTGTTTTTGGGATGCTGACACCGATAACTATGCTCAGGATGTTTTCATGAATGTAAGTGCCTTACTTTCTTTTTTTCACCCATGGTCTTCCCCAGGCAGCTGCTAAAACGGGTGCTGCCAATGGCATACCAGAGGGAGTGTATCAGTTGGAGTTACGTGTAGATTTCCGCATTGCCATAAGGTGCTGGCGTGGGTGTGCTTGCTGGGCCTGTCAGTGGATCTCAAAAGAAGCCATGGGTTTTTCTGAGCTTGCAGTTCTACGTTTCCAGTGACAGATTCAGCAGGCACATCTATGCTGGACCTAGAGCAGATTTTCCCCTTCAGATCCAAACAGTTGCACATCCCAGTATGCGTAGTATTTTGCAACGTAACAGAACGAGAAAAGGCAGATACTAACCCTTGTAATCTAAGTTTTAACAGGAGTGAACCATTAAGGATGCAGAATGGGAAAACTAATAAGTTGCCAGGGAGAAAAAGAAAAGAATAACTAGGCTAGCAGACCAGGCCAGCTTCCACATGAGACCAGTTGTAGCATTTGTGGCTTTTTAGTGAGAAAAAAGCAAAATAAGGAGAAGCATTATTAATTATGATTAATGGTGTGGAGAAAATTTCTCCTCTCCTATAGGACATAGGAACCAAGTGAGGTTGAGGGGAGATTCAGGATTGATGCTAAAGAACTGTGTTCTTCCTCATGTAGGTTAGAGGTGGGCCAGAAAAAATATGTCATGATGTAACAGTCATAGGTTGAAGTCTGGGAAAAATTATGTGAGGATTAGCCATGAGAGATTGCAGGAATTATCCAGGACTGTTGGGACAAAGCGGCAACTTTTGGGAAAACAGTAGTGACTTGGATCTGTCTCCAGCTCGCATCTACAAGTTTGCTATTGTGGCAAAGCTAGAGGTGCATTTTAGATGGTTCAGGAAATGCACCATTAGCTTGGGTTATCTAATAACTAAAGAGACAGTCATCCTTTCCATTTACTGTAAATTCCCTCTTCAGAAGAAGAAGTGTATTATTTTCTTTCAATAGACAGAACCTTTTCTCACGCAGTGATTTAAAATCATGGCCCATATCCACAGTATTTGCACTGATTAGTTTGAGGGCAGGTGTCTTCAGAGTGTTTTTCCATGAGCTTCTGAGCGTCCACCAGATGATTTTAAGCAGCCATCATTTGTAAAATCTGGAAACCTGCTTCTTTTCCTTTTTAAGAAGAAAATCTTTTCATGCTGGTTCTGTCCAGTGGCAGTTTCACTCACAACCATTCTCTGATTTCTCCAGGACAGTCTTTTCTGCGTCGCTGTTGCCTTTGGGTGTTTTTTCTACTAGTGCTGACCGCAAATTCAAAGAAGAAAGACTTTTGTTTTAAAGATACTGAAAAAGCAGGACTACATGCTGCATTTCCCTTCCTCCCTCTGTGTTGTGCATGTGTGCACAGGCATGTATATATATCTGTGTATATAATCCTTTGTATGAAACGTATTTTCCAAATGACACTTTTGAGATACCACAGGCTCCTGTTACTGCCGCTCTGTATATAAATAGAGCTTCCACCACAACTCCCCTGAAAGGGGAGCACAACTCCTGTTCAGTTCTCTGGGGCTTGCATAAGTAATTTCCCTGTTGTATTCATCCCTGTGTTTAGTGACATCTGTGCATGGTACCAAATGTGACCATCTAAATCAGTGTTTTTCAACCTTGGCAACTTTAAGATGTGTGGACTTCAACTCCCAGATTCCCCAGCCAGCTTAGTTGAAGTTCACACATCTTAAAGTTGCCAAGGTTGAGAAACACTGCTCTAAATATTTAGCAACAATTACTCTTACCCTTGTAAAACCATTGCATATGTCTCAATCTATTTCAGTATTTTGAAAACTCAAGTGAGTTATAATATAATACCTTGTATTATTAATCACTGTGTCTTTCTACATGAGTTCTGTTCCTCACTGTGTGCTGAAAGTTCTCCTCTCTCTTCTAGAGATATTTCCATACTCATTTTCTGTTTTATTCTGTCAACATAGAACAGAAGTAAAGGCGCCACTTAAAACTACACTCTAAGATTACTGGCAGCATAATTCCATCACATAAATGCTTGATTCAAGATATATATTGAATAAGGATTTGGGGATTTGTTGGGTTCACACAATACCCTAAGCCAAAGCCAATCGATGTGGAACACAGATGGTATTTTGCCATGAGCATCTAAATTATAATTGGAATCAGGGCTCTTAGTTGTTCCATAAATTTTGCTTAAGAGTTTTTTGTTTTGTTTTTTTAATCTGTTGTAGGAAGTGTTCTTTCTCATCAGAAAGTGCATTTGTAGCAGACCTCATCATGGCAGAAAAATCCTCATTGTGGGTGACAAAAAGAAAACAAGCCTTGTTATTTTTAACTTTCAGATTCCGAATAATCTAAAAGCTTTAAAAAAATCTGTCAGGGTTGTGGGGGTGAACGGGTGGAGTTTCTTAGTAGTCAGCATCTAAAAAAATAACTACATTAGTCTAACCGTGAAATACTGCAGCCCAATTTAGAAATTAGTCATTTTGTTCCACGTGCACATTTTCCACTGTAAATTATCATAGTCAATTTACTTCCTGCCCCCCCGTCCGGAATTTAGCAACTGATAATTGTTTATCTTCTTGTAATCAAAACCTGTTGAATCCACACACATTGACCTTTGCCCAGATGATCTTCCTACAGTACTGTTGGGGTCTTCCTAATGCTCAGAGGTAACAAGTCATTGTGCTGAAGCAGAGTTACTTTGAAGGTCAAGTGAGAGGCATCCTAACCTTTTGGCTAAGCCACTGTCCTCTGCCTGCCTGCCTGCCTGCCTGCCTCTGTACAGCCTATTAGAGGCGGTTGCTATAGTGTGTAAATATCTAGAATAGCAGACTTTGTCTATTTACTTTATCTCTCTTGCATAACGGCCCCAGTGCAGCTATTAAAAATGTGTGTGCGCATGTGTGTGTATATGAATATATGATATATAATATAATATAATATAATATAATATAATGTAATGTAAATATATATTGGAATCCACTTCATATATTCAGAGCTGGAGTTCGTACTCTGGAGTCTGTGAGCCCCTTGGGGGTCCATGGATCGATTTCAGGGGTCTGTGAACTTGGATGGGGAAAAAATACAGCTCTACTTTCATTATTTTATTTTACGCATTTAAATACATTTTTTCTGAGAAGGGATCCGTAGGGCTCACCAGACTCTCACAGGGGCGTGTGGCACCAAAAGGTTAACAACCCCTGAGTTTGCTCCAAATTACGCTTTCCGTCATCTGGTGACATGGACTCTCTCGTCCGCTGGACCCTGGGCCATAGTACAGGAGTGACTGCCTGCTGCAACCCACCGACGTGCCCAGAGGAATCTGGAAATTAATCAGAATGGTGATTTTTATTCCCTGAGCTCAGTAATTCAGCTGGAGAAACGCCCCCTGCTATCTCCAATTCCCTGCCTCATAGGTGAAAATACTTTTATACAAACATCACTGTCCTACCCAAGGCAATTTTCTTGTTTTTTCCAGGGAAAAACAGAGAAAGAAAGCTGTTCTCGAGCTGAAAACTGGCACAAAAGCTTCCATTCCCTGCAGGAGGTTGTCAGAGTTGTGAGAATATGACAGGGTAGACGTGCATTACATGGCCGAGAGTGGCTTGTGCGCGTGCATTTTTGTACACGTGCAATTCAGACGGCATCCCTGTCTGACTCTGGAGATTTAGTTCAGGGGGGAAAGCGCCTTCTGGTACTTGTATTGGCTTCAGTGGGGAGGGGGACCCACCAGCCCTCCACCTTTGGCTAAAAGGAACAAATGTGGTCCTGAAGGATCATAACGGGGCCATTGGCCGCTAATAAAAAGATCCATGGGCCGCTATGGAGAAAGAAGCAGCTATGATTTGAAGCCCTGAAACTCGCTTTGGAAGAAAAGGCTCAGCTTTTAATGCCAGATTCATAGTTTATCTCGACCGATCCAGTTGCTTTGGTAACCTTTTGCGGTCCAGGCTCCATCCCAGAAGAGCAGAGGATGGCCAACCCAGCGCCCTGCTTAGGTTAACCCTAACTTGTATCCGGTTACGGTACTGCCTCGGTTTGCTCTTCTGAGCCAAAGGGAGCCCCTGTGCCACAGGCCTCCCCTCCAGCAGAGGGTGTCGATGAGGAGCCTCAAAGTTGCTACCCAAGTCCTGAACTTCCATGTCACAGGACCGGCCTGAGCAAAACCAGTGTCGCCAGTCGCCGCTTGACTGGCAGATGGTTGATAGACCCTCCAGCGATTAGCAGTGCCTCTCCCCGGTGGGCTCCCCGAGGTGCCCAAACCCTAGAAGAGAGCTTCTGCCTAATCGATCAGTAGTCCCGGGCTTGGAGGGAGGTTCCACGAATAGGGGGCACCTCTTCTGCCTCCCCCGGCCTCCTGGCCCCCTTTTATCCCACACCCAACCATGTCGGACAGACCTCTCAAGCACAGCCAGAAATCCAAGCGGTGCTTGCTCTGCGAGGCTCCCTTCCCCGGGGCGGCAGAGGGAGACCTGTGTCCTCGGTGCTCCCTGCAGCCCCTTAGCCCCCCCAGCTTGGCAGTACCAGGCTTAGAGTCCCAATGGCGGGACCCGAGGGCCCCTTCCCCTCCGGCCAGCTGCGGCTCAGGGGATGACCCCAAGGATCCTGAACTCGAGGAGGAAAAGGAGGAGCCAGAGGCCCGTAAGGCAGACTGGGTAAGTTTGAGCCGTTGCTCTATTAGCATATGGCCTTGGCTCGAGACCCATCTGCAGGATGCCTTGTGTTTTTATTTTTGTTTTTTTATTTTGAGCCAAGAAAATGGCCTTTAATGCAGGGTCAAAACCTGGGCTCAGAAAATTGCCCCTTTCCATTCCCACGGTGGAATGGAATACATTAAGGCATGCTTGAATTTTCCACAAGTATAGAATAATTAGGTTATTATTATAGGAAAAACGTTAGGAAACAAAACTTCAAGAACACGGCCACACAGCCTGGAAGACCCACACCAGCCATTGTATGCCGCCTGTGAAAGCCTTCGACAATACATAGAATAATTAGCTTTTTTAAAAAAGGATGGGGCTTGTGCACTTCATTAAAAGCTTCCTTCTGTGCCCTGCCCCTCCCCCCGCTTCCTTGCATGGCAAGCAAACACTAGATGTTGAGCCTGGATTCTGTTCCAAAGCCCACTTTAACTGCATCCGTATCTCTTTGATGTGATTAATAGTGGTGTTTACTGGAGCAATTTGGTTCAATGTATTTGGAAAGGATACATCAAACCAAACCTTAGAGCAAATTTGCTGCATGCAGACAGTCTGGCATTTGGTTTCTGGCAGCCTATCCAACTAAAACAATTTGGTTGCAGGATCCAGAAAAGCTCTGTTTGCCTAGATCCCTGGACTGCCACTTGGTGTGATGGCTATTTTTACTGACTGCATCTAAATTTAATTGCATTTAGACCTTTGTATTCTTATCCTTAGTTAAATGTGTATTATGTTCCTCTGGATGCAGTTATGGAGCAGCTTTTACATTAATTCAGTATTCATTTTAAAAAAGGAATTGCTGGCTGTGGAAAAACTTGAATCTTGGCAAACTCATCCTCACGAAGAGGATGCTTTAGCTGTCAATACCGTTCCATACATGCACTTACTGCATATAGATGCATAAAAAGTAGCTTAAGGTACAGTCATATTTCATCAATATCTGGAGGAATTTTTTAAGAAATCAAGTGCACGTTTTCTCTCAACTTATTTAATTACTTGGTCTTAGTTGCAATGAGTGCTAAAATTCCACTTGTCCTAAAAATAATGTTGAAGGACAGGGTAGCAGGACTCCAGTGCCTGTGAAAATGTTCAGGAAATTCTGTTTTAAATCTGGATGCCTAAATGATGCTATCCAATCTTCATGCTGTTTTTAAAAGAACTATAATTGATGACGTAGATATTATTGCTTGAAATGTTATTGTGGTAATGGTCAAATGCAATATAAAAATACTTGAAATAAATAAAAATACTGTTTATTTAGAACATTTTTTTAAAGCCCCGATTGTTTCAGAGGGACTTGTGTTGATATCAGGCTGTTATGAATTCCCCAGTTCAAATGTTCTGTCCAAAGGTGCTTATTTATCATACTGCAAGAACACAGAGGCGGAAGCAGTCACGAATTTTAAAATGAGTCTGTCCCCTCAGGGAATTAGAAGAGCTAACGGCAAATAAAAGACGACTGCAAAGGGCAGGGTTCGCACGTCGCTCTGGACCACGATTTCCTTAACCACAGTTTGTTGCTGGCCGAGTTCGCGCCCAGCCTCAACCTCAGATGCGTTGCCATTGCAACACGCGACGGGAGGGAACCAGCTTGGGAAGGCTGGGCCTGCGCGCCCTCCCTTACCGGGAGGCGAGATCTGGTTTACGGCTCCGCGGCTGGCTGGGGATGATGGGGGATCGTGGCCCTAGAACAAGGGCCTCAAAGGGGAAAGCACGCCGAGGCCTGTTTCTCGCGGAACTTCCGGCGTGGGGACGCCGTTTCCGCCCGGAACGCGCGGGAGCGCCGGCCCCTTCCGGCAGGGTCCGTCCGGGAACGCTTCCGGTTCAGCCCAGCCCCGTTGGCAGAGCTCGGGCGTGCGGAGCCGAGGAGGGACGTC